GTGCATGCTATCAGTCGCAAAAGGTGAAAGTTTGAGCGAAGCATAAAGACTTGAACCACTACCAGTTTGCAAAAAGCTACCGCTCGCATAGACATGCGTTAATAAAATTCCATGTAGCGTTCAGTACCTTTTCACGCCCCTCTGTCTTTATCTGACTATTTAAGTGTACTTTCCTGGATTAATTTATTTTATTTTCTAATGACTGGTTTTTCTTTGGGGCCTTATATCTCAGGTCCAGTAAGTAGAAATCAAATTGTTGCCCAAGAAAAATGAGGGCTCTTACGTCGCCCTTACTGAATTAAGATATCCCAAGGATTACCTATATATCGAATTCTGGCCTCCTGATTGCAGATGAAACTCGCCTCTGGGTTTTCCAGAATGGCCTGGACAATGTCTATGCATGATCATCTGAAAATCGTCTTATGCAAAATAACCAGAAATCATTCCGATTTGTGATTTGCTTAGAATAGTCTTCAATTCCTGAACCTTTCGGCTAGCCCGGATTATTAAATTTCAGGCTGCTGTGACCCGCATGCCAGTCATTGAGCAGTAAACGCACAATATCACTGATTCTCACAGTAATTTGGTAGGATGACAAATTCATCCTATAAATACCGCGTTGAAGAATCTATTTCTGCTACTGTCCCTGACTATGGGTTCACTAAGCAAGCTGAAATATAAGTTCAATAAAGTCGCCCTTGCTGCGATCACATCTGCTTTTTCTGCTATTTTTTCATGTTCCTTGGCCGTATCTATTTTCTACCCTGTTATCGCACAGCTCATTCTCGTTTCACCTTGATAATCCTTTTACCAGATTTTATTAATTTCTTAGATACCATCAGTCGCTTTCTTTTTTATTACGCACCACGGAAAATAATAGATGTCTGCATTCTCCCTCTCATTCAGCGCCGTTATGATGGTATTTTTCCCTGGTTTCTTTAAACGAGGTTTGCCCATTTTGGCCAATTAAAAAATGACCAAACACAATTTTACAATGGCCAGCTTCCGGATGCTGTTTATCATCCATTTCATTCAGAGTTAACTGCTGAAAACTCTATCTTACCCATGTCGCGTGTGCTCCCACCTTACACTTGCTTAAAATCGGCCTATGGACGTTTTAAAAAAGCTCATGTAATTAGCTCATCTGTTAGTTCGGATCATAATCCCAAAAATGAGAAATGCTTTTGTTAAAAGTATTTATACCTTCAAACCAGAGCCCATTTCGGTTGATCTTCCTTATACGGTCTTCTTCTGATCTCTGAGGCGATTGTTATTTACCTACTGCTAGCACTGTGAGCCATCTTAAGTTTAGCGGCTGAAAAACCAACGCGATCAGGTCCATGGTTTATAATATTAAGTTTGAAGCTGGGGAAAACGGCAGAAGTTATTTATATTGTGCTTATAAGGACTACCTGCTTAGAAGACATTTACCTTTCACCAGAGGGAGCAGCCAACCTGCCATCCAGACAACGACTATAGTACAGTTACTTCTTAGATTAAGCCTTGCGTGATGTTTGACGTTGCGTCGTCGTACTTTACAATTAACAGCACTTCCCCCAACAGTTTTCCTCAACGATGTGTTATGTGCTACGGCAACTAAAAAGTGTAAATTTATGTGGCCCTTAACGAGGTCGATAGTGCAATAATCAGCAGGTATCGTCTCTCTGAATCTTCAGTTGTGGTGGTTTTTA